TCCCCCCATCCCCATATCCCCACGTCCCCACGTCCACGTCCCCACCCCCGGGCTGTGGCCTCTGGCAGCAGAGCGGGATAATTTTAGCCAGGTCCCCACCCCCGGGGCCAGAGCCGGGCAGGATGCGGCCCTGGGTGCTGCCCACACCCAGCAATTATCGGCAGGGCGCTCGGGGCCGGGACCGTGGGGCCACGCTGGGAGCGGGGAGGTGACCGGTCCCCCCCCTTGAGCGCCACGTCCCCCCAAGGCCCGGCCATGGCGGGGCTGCTGCAGGCCCTGGTGGGTGCCTCGGAGAAGGCGGCGCACATCGCCCGGCTGTGCCGGCGAGAAGAGCCCCTCTTCCAGCTGCTGGTGGCCGAGAAGACGGGGGCCGACAGGAACAGGAGGTTCCTGCAGGACTTCAAGACGCTGGCGGACGTCCTCATCCAGGAGGTCATCAAGCACGACCTGGGGAAGGAGGTAAGGGACGGCCTGGGGGGGGTCCCCAGGGTGCCCCCGCATCCCCCTGGGCCGCAGCTGAGCTGCCCTGTCCCCCCAGTTCCCTGAGCTGCGGGGCCACATCCATGGCGAGGAGTCCAACGAGTTCAAGAACGGGCAGGGTGAGTCTCGGGGGAGCAGCGGAGCCGGGGTCACGTGCCCCCCCCCCCCCAACCCGGGGGGCCACGGGGCCATCGCTGATGTCGGGGTGCTGGCAGGGGAGACGGTGGCGGTGCGGGTCTGCGCCACGCCGGGAGACACCGCGGCCCTGCTGCTCTCCGTGCTGGAGCCCGAGCAGGCGGCCGCAGAGCTGCTGGCGGCCGCCGTGCACCGGGACGTGGCGCTGGAGGATGTGGAGTTGGCCGGCGTGGCGCTCAGCATCCCCCCTCAGGACCTGGCCATCTGGATAGACCCCATCGGTGAGGGGGTGCTGGGTGAGGGTAGGTGGGGGACCCCACCACCACGTACCGCAGCTGAGCCCCGGCGAATTCGGCTGCACCCGCAGACTCCACCAATGAGTACATCGGCGGGCGCGAGGACGTGGCCCCCGTCGACGGCATCGCCCCGGCGGGGCTGTGCTCGGCGCTGGTGCTCATCGGGGCCTACGACCGGCAGACGGGCTGCCCCGTGCTGGGCGTCATCAACGAGCCCTTCTTCCGCCGGGACCCCCTGACCCGCAGGTACCGGCACCGGTTGGGTGGGCACGGCCGGATCCTGGCCCCCAAAGGCCGGGGAAAGCCTGGGGACCTGGTGACGGGGTCTGCGCTCAGGGTCCCCGTCCCTGCAGGTGGCAGGGGAGGTACCACTGGGGCGTCGCGTACGGGGACACGCGGCTGTGCTCGCTGAGCCCCCCGCCGCCGCGCCCCGTGCCCTGCGTGGTGCTGAGCCGAGCAGAGGGGGGAGCGGTGCGGGCGGCCTTGGGCCCCCTCTGCAGTGACCGCCTGCGCTTCGCCGCCGGTGCCGGCTACAAGATGCTCTGCGTCATCCTGGGACTGGCGGACTCCTATGTCCTCTCCGAGGGCAGCACCTTCGCCTGGGACGCCTGTGCCCCCCACGCCATCCTGCGGGCCCTGGGCGGGGGTGTCGTGGCCCTGGCGGGGGCCCTGCGAGAGCGGCGAGCGGGTGACACCAGGTCCCCCCCCGAGCTGGTCTACAACCGCCCGGTGGAGGGGGTGGTGGGGGCTGAGTGCTGGGCAAACTGGGGTGGCCTCGTGGCCTATGCCCACCCCCAGCACTTGGAGGCCGTGCTGGCTGCGCTGGCCGCCGTGCCGGGGCTCTGAGCCCATGGCGGCCGGGACCCCGGGGTGTAAGGTAGGGGCTAGTAGGGACCCTGGGGTGCAGGGTATGGGGTGGCTGGGAACAGGGTTGCCAGGACCCCGGGGTGGCAGGGACCAAGAGGTACAGGGTGTCGGGGACCCCAGGGTGCAAGTTATAGGGTGGCTGGGACCCTGGGGTGCAGGGTACATGGGGTGGCAGGGACCCCGGGGTGCGGGTTATAGGGTGGCTGGGACCCTGGGGTGCAGGTTATAGGGTGTCTGGGACCCTGGGGGTGCAGGGTGTGGGGTGGCAGGGAACAGGGTAGCCGGGACCCCAGGGTGCAAATTATAGGGTGTCTGGGACCCCAGGGGTGCAGTGTGTGGGGTGGCAGGGAACAGGGTCCCCGGGACCCCAGGGGTGCAGGTTTCGGGGTGGCAGGGACCAAGGACCACGGGCCGACCGGCCCCCCCGGGGCGCAGGGTCCCCCGAGACCCCCGGGG